AGGTTGTGCGGGCGAGAGGGTCATTGGAGTGCACACGGGGTATTCGAGGAAACGCCAGAGAGAGAGAGGAGGAGGAGGAAGACGATTGATGCTGACAGGTGGGCCCATCTTGTCAGAAAGGCGTTTAGAAGAGGCGAATCGTGCATTTTCCGACATGGTAGTTTTTAGTCAAAGATTAGTAAAAAAGTGATAGTTTTCGATACAAATTTGTAAAGTGATAGTTTATAGGCACGATTTCATAAAATGTGGTAGTTTTTTTTTTTAAATACTCTGAAGTGGGGGAAGGCCGCGGAAGAGCTATCTAGGAGCCATCTGGACGCGGTGAAGCGGATGGTCGAGGAGTACCATAGGCCGGTGGTGACCATGGAGGGCGCCAGCTTGACAATTGCCATGGTCGCGGCTGTGGTAGCCGGTAGCGAGACCAGGGTGGAGCTCGACGAGTCCGCCCGCGGCCGCGTCAGGGAGAGCAGCGACTGGGTCATGAACAGCATGGCCTGCACCGACAGCTATGGCGTCAACAACGGCTTCGGCGCCACCTCCCACCGGAGGACCAAGGAGGGCGGCGCTCTCCAGCGTGAGCTCATCAGGTACGAATTCATTATATTGAACAACGTAGAAATTAGTGATCATATGTGTCTCTGGGTTATATATGAAAGCCTTATTTGTTTTTCATATTTCTTGTCTCTTCATCAGATTTCTTAACACCGGACCACGTCCTGCCAGCTGCTGCCACGAGGGCGGCGATGCTCGTCCTCGTTAACACTCTGCTCCAGGGGTACTCCGGCATCCGCTTCAAGATACTCAAGACAATCGCCAAACTTCTCAACGCCAACGTCACGCCATGTCTGCCACTCCGGGGCACGATCACCGTGTCTGGTGACCTCGTCCTGCTTTCCTATATCGCGGGTCTCGTGACCGGCCAGGTAAACTCCATGGCCATGGCTCCAGACGGTAGCAAGGTTAATGCCGCCAAGGCGTTCAAGATGGCCAGCATCGAGCATGCCTTTTTTGAGCTACAGCCCAAGGAAGGGCTTGCCATGGTTAAGGGCACGGCTGTTGTCTCGGGTCTCGCGTCCATGGTTCTTTTCGAGGCTAACATCCTCGGCGTCCTTGCTGAGGCTCTGTCGGCAATTTTCTACGAGGTCATGAATGGCAAGCCGGAGTACACCGACCACTTGTCCCACAAGCTGGAGCACCACAGATTGAGCCTGCTGCCTTCATGGAGCACGTCCTTGAAGGAAGCTCCTACATGGCACTCGCGAAGAAGCTCGGCGAGCTTGACCCATTGATGACGCCAAAGCAAAATAGGTACGCGCTCCGCACTTTGCCGCAGTGGCTTGGCCCCCAAATTGAGGTCATCGTGCTGCCACAAAGTCGATTGAGCGGGAGATCAATGCCGTCAACGACAACCCACTCATCGACGTCTCCTGTGGCAAGGCCATCCACGGCGGAAACTTTCAAGGCACGCCCATCAGCGTGTCCATGGATAACACAAGGCTCGCCATTGCCGCGATCGCCAAGCTCATGTTTGCGCAGTTCTCGGAGCCGATGAATGACTTGTACAACAACGTTTTGCATTCAAACCTCTCTGGCGGCCGCAACCCGAGCTTGGACTATGGCCTCAAGGGTGCTGAGATAGCCATGGCCTCGTACTGCTCTGAGCTCCAGTTTCTAGGAAACCCGGTGACCAACCATGTCCAGAGCGCGGAGCAACACAACCAAGACGTCAACTCTCTCGGTCTCATATATGCTAGGAAGACCACCGAATCCATTGACATACTAAAGCTCATGTCCTCGACAGTCTTGGTCGCGTTGTGCCAGGCCATTGACCTCCGCCACCTCGAGAAAAATGTCAAGGATGAGGTTAAGAGTTGTGTGAAGACGGTGGTCAGAAAGACACTAGGCACCAACAACAATGGCCATCTCCACTACGCATGCTTCTGCGAGAAGGACGATCTGCTGCTCGCAATCGACCGCGAGGCGGTATTCAGTACGCAGACGACCCTTGTGGCGCCAACTACCCACTGATGCAGAAGATGCAAGCTGTTCTCGTGGACCACGCCCTGGCCAATGGTGATGCCGAGCATGATGTGGAGACGTTGGTTTTTGCCAAACTTTCCATGTTTGAGCAGGAGCTCTGTGTTTTGCTGCCGAAGGAGGTCGAGGCCGCCTTGAGTGCTGTGGAGAATGGCACCGCTGCGCAGCAGAACCGCATCACCGAGTGCCGGTCGTACCCGCTCTACCGGTTCGTCCGCAATGAGCTTGGGATTGAGTACTTGACGGGGGAGAAGACGCGATCTCCTGGCGAAGAGGTGGACAAGGTGTTCATCGCCATGAACTAGGGAAAGCACATCGACGCGCTGCTCGAGTGCCTCAAGGAGTGGAATGGTGAATCCCTACCTATCTGCTGAACAGCCTATCAGAATTTGAAGAGAACATAGTGTGCTTCAGATTTCAAAGTCTCCGGATGTTCTTAGTTGATAAGTGATAATATTGTTTTCATGTATTTTCTAGAAAGGTTATGTTTTGAAACTTGTTCTTACAGAGCTGCCATGTTGTTGCCAAAAATTCAACTGCATGACTATAGTGGTATGTAGCCAGTACAATATCTGTGATCTAAATTAAAAGGGTACAATATATGGTAAACATTCGTGATAAAAGTACTGGTTACTTTTTTGAGATCAAATGGTCTGTTGGAGGCTACTCCGAACAGTGCAATATATGGTAAACTTTCGCATGCCATTATCATTACGGTGTGAGGACTGAGGACATGATGCATAAATAATTCAAAGGTGGTGCGACGGCTACTAGACAGCAGATCAGAAAGTAAAAAATGTACCTACAAAGTCGCTGGACTGCGGTGTCTTCGTAGTTGCTAGTTACACATCAGTTTTATATTTCAGTTTTCTGTCTACAAATTTCAGTCTGATATACTTATAATGGAAGCAGGATGGCAGAGTCTTTGGATTTTTCCTGCTCTGATGCAGATGACTTGTCTTTCTATGTTCTGAAATGTCATGAGTATTTAACCAAAAACTACCCCACTTCATGAAAACGTGCCTAGAAACTACCACTTTACGAATTTGTGCCGAAAACTACCACATTTTTGCTAATATGTGACTAAAAACTACCATTTCGGAAAAGTGTCTGATTCGCCTCTTCTAAACGCCTTTCTGATAGGATGGGCCCACAAGTCAGGTTGACCGTAACTTTGACCGTTATTATAAATGGGGCCCACACGTCAACCCTCTTCTTCCTCCTCTCTCCCTCTTTTTGGCATTTATACAGACACCTCGTGTGCACCTACAAGCCACCTCCGCAGCCGACCACTGCCGGCGCTCACTTACGCACGACGGCGCACATGCTCGCGGCGGTGGCGGCTACGCGCACGGCTGCGCACGCACACAACCTAGCATGCAAAGCCAGCACAGTGCACGCGAAGCTACGGCTGCATGGGCAGCGATGTGCGGCAGCGGCAGCGGCGGGCGCAGCGAGCAGCGGCGCGGCGCACGGCGGAACGGGCGAGCAGCAGCAGGCGCGGCGCGCTACGGACGCGGCGAGCAGCAGTGGGCACGGCGGGCGACGTGCACGGCGAGCAACGAGGCGAGCTGGTTGCCGGCCGCCTCTAGCCGCCGCCACGGGCAGGAGCGCGTCGAGGCTGCCATGCTGTGCGTGCTTGATTCATGCTGATCGTGATGTGCATGCTTGATGTATGTGTGTGTGGTCTGTACGTGCTCAACAACAAGCAGCGGCGGGAAGCAGCAGAAGTTGCGGCGGCAGCGGACAGTAGCAAGGGCCCGTGGCCAAGCAGGACGTCCCGGGCTTCCTCCGACGTGAGTTGCCCCTGCTTAAGGCGTCCCCGCCTCCCCGGCTGCCGCTCTGCTCCTCGCCGGAGCTGATGGCCACGGACGAGCAGCAGAGGCCGAGCGCCGAGGTCGGGCCGCATGCTGCGCGCCGCGCCTTGAGCGGTTGTGCATCTGGGCCAGCCTCGGCCTCGAGCGTGCGTCTGGCGCGGGCCAGCGCACAGCTGCGTTGCGCGTAGGCGGCGGTGCTTGGCCACATCCCGGCGGTATACATCTTCGGGATCTCGGGCGAACTGCAGGTGCACACGAGGTGTTTGTAGAAATGCCAAAAAGAGGAAAAACAAGGAGGACGAAGAGGGTTGATGTGTGGGCCCCATTTATAATAACGGTCAACCTGATTTGTGGGCCCTTCCTGTCAGAAAGGCGTTTAGAAGAGGCGAATCGGGCAGTTTTTCGACATGGTAGTTTTTAGTCACAGATTAGCAAAAAAGTGGTAGTTTTTGGCACAAATTCATAAAGTGATAGTTTTTGAACATCTTTGCATGAAATGTGGTAGTTTTTGATTAAATACTCGAAATGTCATATGCAAGAAACTGCTAGTTTCTAATCACAGAAATAAGAGAGCTGAAAGAGAGTTCAAAATCAACATGCGGGTAACATTTGACCAGGAATACACTAAATCAGCAGGCGATTTTCATTTAAATTGATATTCACAACGATTTTGCAATCTTGTTTTTGGTATGGTGCTTATAACTCCCACAAGTCTAATAGCACTATAGATAACTGAATGAAACCAGAAGAAAGAAAAAAAAATATCTTCTTGGTATTTGCTTTGGATAGAACACAGGGATCTTGGGATTTTCAGAGATCACATGATGATGTTATAATTCCAGTGTTACTGCGCTTACTTAGGACACTCAACAATCAAAGAATACAGTGAACAAAACCACAATACACAAGGAACATATAGTTCTTCTTGGTATTTGCACATAGGATCGGACAATTAGCATGGGACAGAAGTCCGGTCGAAGCAGGCAAAATAAAATGAGAATAAAAACCTTTGTGGCGCCTTAGATGGTCATAGGAAAGACACGACTGATGAGCTGAAAGAACCACGACCATATGTCAGTATAGCTAGACAGATTTCTCAAAAAAAATATAAAAATAGGGGGCTAGATAGATTTGTTTGGATCAAATTTAATTAAGCTTCCTCGTCTCTCCTTGGTGATTCTTCATGACGCCGGGGCGGTGCCTCCTACGCCCTGGTGGATTCAAAGGAGCATAGTCTTTCTCTTCGTCGTAGTCCTCGCCGACCTCTACCTCGTAGGTGACTATGCCCTTGGCCTCCAGCTGTTGCGCGTAGTCTTTTTGCAGCTCTAGCATCTCACGTTCATTGCTCTCCGCGACCTTGGCTGTGTCGGCCTTCATCGTGTAATAGCTTGCCGCCAGCTCCGGGAGCATTCTGATCATATCTTCTGGCAACTTTGCCGTGTAAGGCATCGGCTTGTATTCAATCAAATATCTCGAGAAGGTTTTCCCTGCTTTCTTTCGAAGTACTTCTTTGCTTTTATATATCATTCTTAATGTGTATATAGATTTGTATTCCTTTGCCTATCTACACTAGCACTACCGCAATAGGTTGATGTATCTATCAGACTAACAAATGCCTAACGATGTTGCTCTTTTTCCTTCAATTTCAGGATACCATTACAATTTCCTGGTTCACAGCATATCCCTTTTTGAAGCGGTTACGTATTTTCTGATTTAGATGTAGAGCACGATTTAACTGAACATAGGTTACCAATGTATTACCAAACATTCCATCATGTGTTAGATTTTTTTTGGACTCTTAAATGTAGGAGAATCAAATGATGTATTGTTGTGGTCCTTGATAGAAGTCCGAGTCTATTGTTATTAAGTCAAATATACGTAGGATTAATTCTTGGTATATGCCCCATCCAGCCATTCCTCCTTGAATGCTTTTAGACTTACAGTTTAAGAGACAAAAATCATATTCATTCAGATTCAATTGATGCATTTTTTCTGTTTGCAAGTTAAGCCGCAATAAAACCATCTTCACTATAAACATTTTGTAGTGTGGAGTGTCCGCCAATAATCCTTTTCTTATGAATTCTTTGTACACATATTGTGCTAATATGCCATGGAATGACACATCTAGGTTTCTCTCCAGGGTATGATTGTGTTCTTTTGAGGGTCTTTTGAAGTGTATCCTTTCCAGACATCCACAAGTATTTGCACTTGTATGGCAATGTAAAAAAAATCAATGGTTCCATCTAAAAGTAAGTCAAAACATCAGTTTCTTATTCTGAAATGCTCTCACCATTCAAGAGCAACGAAATCTACTAATTTATTAAAATATTTTAGAAGCAATGCATCATTTTTGAACTACTAAAAAGCACATACATTCCATATTTTACTGAACTAACAAAGTGAGGGTATTTAAGCTCATTTTGCATCAGCTCAAACTAACAGTGACAAAATATTTAGAAGTATAAAGTCCCACCGCAACGCGCGGGCATCATCATCTAGTTTAAACTATGCTTGTGTGTTTCCATAGCACCCCAACCTATCTCACCAGGTAACATTTATCCAAAATGGCCTCCTTTGGTTTGGAGGAATTTTATAGGATTTTCATAGGATAGGATTTCTATAGGAAAAATTCCTTCAGAGCTCTTTGGTTTGTAGGAATGAAATCCTATTCCTATGGAGGAATTCTTTCTATCCTCCACATTTCATAGGAAAACAAACATTAGCCTAGACTCAATGGAAAAAATCCTATGGTGTGAATCAAAGGGCATCTCTTTTTCTATTCCTATGCATAGGATTTGAGATGCATGTCATCTCATTTCCTATGACTTTCCTATTCCTATGATTTTCCAATCCTATGAACCAAAGGAGGCCTAAGAAAATACATCCGTTGTTACAAACTTGGTAGCAATCTTGCGCACATCCAGGGCAACACAAAAGGATGGCCTTACTTCTTTTTTTTGTGTGTGTTGGGAGGATGGACTTACTTTTAAGAGGATTAATTTTGAGCCCGGACATAGGTCCAATACAGAGCGGGAGAAACTTTAGGTTTGAGATTAAGGTAAGAGTTCATTCTTCTCACTGAGCATTATCGTGTGGGGAGTGATACCACAGACGAATATGTGTGGCAGGGTGTTATCTGCAACTGTGCCTCATGAATTGATCAGTTTAAGACACAAGATGAAATGCATTGCATCAACTCGACTGATCGGCTTGCCCGCTGGTGGCAGCAATTCCCTTGTTGGTGAAATTCTTGTTACACGAATGTAGCGTGGAGATGCTTCACGTTGGCAGGAGGACACGCCTGTTGACATGGATGTGTGGCCACACGAGGAAGGATCGAGTCCGGAATGATGATAGAGTTGAGGTAGCACCAATTGAAAAGAAGCTTGTCCAACATCGTCTGAGATGGTTTGGGCATATTCAGCACAGGCTTCCAGAAGCTCCAGTGCATAGCGAACAGCTAAAGCAAAGAATGTCAAGAGAGGGCGGGATAGACCGAATTTGACATGGGATCGAAGGAGTCCGTTAAGAGAGACCTAAAGGATTGGAGTATCACCAAAGAGCTAGCTATGGACAAGGGTGCGTGGAAGCTTGCTATCCATGTGCCAGAGCCATGAGTTGGTTGCGACATCTTATGGGTTTCACCTCTAGCCTATCCCAACTTGTTTGGGACTAAGAGGGTGTTTGTTTTCAAGGACTTATTGGTTTAGGGACTTAAAAAAGTCCCTATAAGTCCCATCTAAACCAAACAGGAGGGACTTATAGGGACTTAAAGTGGGCATTTGGAACTTATGAAATAAGACCCTCAAGAAGAGTCTTATAAGGACTTATAGTTGTAATATGGTCTTATAAGGACTTAGAAGTCCCAGGAACCAAACAGGTAAGGACTTTTTAGGGACTTGAGACTTATAAGTTGAGACTAAAAAAAGTCCTATGACTTATGAACCAAACAGGGCCTAAAGCCTTTGTTGTTGTTGTTGTAGGAGGACACGCCCACGTCCATCATGTCAGTATGCCCAAGAGGCTGGAACACCACACAGAGCGTTAGGTTCTTCACCCACGCAGCGGTCACCGGCGATGCCACCAGCGAATGGATGAAGCAAGAGGAGGGCATCCTTGCCTGGAAGCAGGGGCTCCGTAAGAACTTTGAAGGAGGATACCATGGCCAAACTCCTCCGAACTGGAACTGGATGTACCTGACGAACTCGTCGGCAATGAACCCTAGCTGCTGAAACCTCCACATGGTCTTGGTGAGGCGGATCCTACTCGACTTTGCTATGGCTGAAACATTAGCTCTTAGTAAATCAATGTAATATATGAGCGCTAGCTGCTATGCCAAGAGACTGAAGCATGGCAAGATTACGTGAGTTCTCCCAGCCATTGTATAGAAATCTCAGAGTCTCACACATCCTTGTATAGAAAGCTTCATAACACCAACAGACATGGGAATATGCTATGCAGCTTCCCTAAATTAGGCTTGTACAAGCAAGACCAGAGTCGACAAGAGAAATGACAAGTGCAAATTAGATGAACATGATACATAACGAAGCCAACAATCCGCTACATGCATAACAACCGTTGGTACAGCTAGTGCACAAAAGATAACTAGAGATTAAAGCATTCATAGGGTAAATATTCTAACATTTGTCTTGAGCTCCTTGAAGCACACAAGCTGGAAACTTGCCATAGTACGGCACGTAGAGTCGACTTCGATATAGGTCAGCGAACCTTGGAATGTTTAGAATCTGCGAGCCCTTTCCAGTACTGATGCTATATGAGATGATCTTATTATCAGCAATTGTGTCAGCAAGGAAAACTAGCTCTCTCTCCAAGTCAAATGCCAGGATTTCATAATCAAAGTACCATAATCCTTCATTATTAGTATGGAGCATTATGTCCCTCCCAAATACGTTGTTCATATTTAGACGATGCTTCACCACCCACCTATCAGATCCTTCAAAACTCCAAATTCGAATGATGCAACCATCCAATTCTTGTTGTGCGTAGCATAAGACCCCAGATGACTGGCAAAGACAGCCATCAAAGCAATAAAACCTCTGTTCTGGTCCATTCGGAAATCCAGGCAGCTGAAGGATCCTATGATTGAGCAACTGTGTGCATGTGTCAGGTGCATCGAGTGCCAGAAGGTAATGCCCCCATAAGTGATCCACATACAACACCCCTTTTAAGAAGAGTGAATCACCACCAAGTATATCTGAAGTTTCCCATAGACAATTAGACCATGTCGAATCCTCAGAGAAAAATACCTTAACGTCGGTGTCATATCCACCATTTGGAGTCGTCTCAAATTGGAAGACATAGAAGTGTTGAGACCATAATGGATCAAAACACAACTTGAGATCAGCATAAGAGACGGCTGGTCCAGGTTCAGTATTTGGAAGTGCCATCCACTCTTGAGTTGCTGGATTGCACACAATGGCGTCGGAAATTTCTTTAGAGCCTGTACCACCATGATAACACAGAAGCAGGCCATTGCTGCAACCCTTAAGCTCCAAGGGATGCTCATAGCATGGCACAAAGCTAAGTGTTGTGTCAATATCCCTGTCACCTGAGGGAAGGCCCACGAGATGGATGGCATTGCCATGCTCATTTTTTTGGTACAGGAGACCGGAGGGAGTTCCTGGGAGCTTCTTGCGGTAGTGCGGATCAGATGAGAAGGCAAGCCAAGACTTGCAGACACATCTGAAACGGCAAAAGGACTTCAGCGGCAGCCGAGACAGGATCTCCACCACCAGGTCATCAGGTAGTATGGTTGTGGCCATCTCCTACCGATATTCAATATCTCCTTTGAGCTTATCTAGCAGATGAACTTATATCTACGTCAAAAAAGAAGAAAATAGATGATATAAAACTGAGAAACTTAGTGTTTGTGCAGAACTGCAAGAAGTAGTGATACCCATTATTTAACGATTGAACAGAGCTGAGCGAATTAATGGATTGAAGCTGAGACCGGCACTTGATAAATGGTAACCGTCGACTCCATGCTCGAAATATGGATGTCAAATGAACTGAAATATTATCCAATACTCACACTAAAAACCATGATTTTTTTTTTGTTGGTCTCCTTCTAACAATGCTTTTGCAGTTTACACAAGAATTTGCAAATGAGAAAAGTTGTGAAGCATATTTCAGTATGGGCTTATGACCTATGCTGAGTGGGGCCACACAGATTCACCGTCGCATGGGGATACTTCTCTGTAATTAAGTAATTATATGCAAAGTTGCAGATAATAAAATCACTATAAGTTTTTCCAATTTCGCCATCCATTTCACAACAAGTAAGCAATAATAATAATATAATACACGCGTTGCTACAATACGTGTTGAAACAAAATGTGATATGGTAAAAAGGGAACGGAATGCACCTTCAGGATATATGATCCTATGTACCTATTAGACACCGTGAAAAGCGGAGACAAGTGCTAACTTGTGAGATAAGCCAGGGTAAATCAAGAATATCACCGTATCCATCCTTGGTGCGACTGACAAGTGCTAGTAACATTTTT